GAGCGGGAGGGGGGCCGGGAAGCCCGGGCCATCAGCTCTGGCCCCACCCTCCCTAGCCAGGGCCGGGCGCGCCCACCTTCAGCATCTCCTTGTAGCGGCCCATCTCCGAGTGGGCCGTGACCAGGCAGCCCAGCACGCGGAAGCGCCCCACAAGGTCCGAGCTCTTCTCCAGCAACTTCGTCCACACCTGCAGCGCCTTCTCTGTCTGGTTAGACTGGTACAGCTGGAGCCCCTTCTCGATCTGCTGCTTCGTCTGGTCCTGCCCCATCCCCAGAGCCCCGTGCCCCACCCGGGCGGACCTCGGCGGCTCCCTGCCTCTAGGCACTCATGGCGGGGGACCCCCAGTACCAGCCGCCCTCTGAGCCCCGGGAAGGGAAGCAGCTCCAGGCAGGAGTGGAGCTGGGCCTGATGGAGAACGGGTGCCGCTCTGGGAACAAAGCTGGTCCGGCCCCGTCTGCAGCTGTCCCTGCCAGTTGGGGCCACGTGGCCATTAGGAATGTCAGCTGCAAGGTCACGCGGCCTCTGTGGCACCCGCCCCCGAGAGGGGAGGTGGCTTCCCAGGGATACAGGCACCCTGCCCCCGGGGGAGCCCCTGGGTGTCTCTCTGGCACCTCTGGCACTGGCCCTGACCCTCCTGGCAGACCAGGCCCTCCTGCAGCCTTGCCATGGAGCCGCCTCCGGGCGTGGGGAGAGAACTGGGAGGCAGCAGGACTGAGACTGGGCACACAGGTGTGGGCGGCAGGGGCAGGGCACAGCCTCCCCCAGGGTTCGTTCCTGTGGTCTCCCGGCACCAAGCTCACATACCCACAGGAACCTGCCTACACCAGTCCCAACATCCTAACCCCAGCCAAGTCACTGACCTCTCTGGGCCTCAGCACCTCACCTGTAAAATGAGGGTAACCAGAGGCTGATCAACCCTAACGCACAGGGTGGTTCAGAGGCAGCAGAGTCCTGGGTGACAGCACGGGCTCTGGAGCCAGGCTGCCAGGGTTGAAGTCTGACGCCACTGTGAGCTGTGTGGGCAGCGTGATCTGGGCAAGAGAGATGGTGCCCACGCCACTGGACTGTGAGAACTACATGGCGGACTAGCTGACCGGGACTTAGCACAGCGCCTGGCACGCAGGAGACGCTCCGGGTGTCGACAAGCAAGAGGCCACCCAGAGCCCTGTCTGCTCCACGGCAAACTGCCCTCCAGGGACAGAGCTGACCCTGGGAGGTTTATTTTTTTTATTATACTTTTTTTATTGATTCAGAGAGGAAGGGAGAGGGGGAGAGAGAGAAACATCAATGATGAGAGAGAATCGTTGATTGGCTGCCTCCTGCACGCAACCCAGACTTGGACCCTTCAGTCCACAGTCCGACGCTCTAGCCACTGAGCCAAACCAGCTGGGGCGACTCTGGGAGGTTTAAAAAGTTTCCCAGTTCCAATCCCAGTCCCCATGTGAAAGGGTCCCTGGTCAGGAGCTTTCATGCCAGACGTTGGGGAGGACAGAGTCTATGCCGGGAGCAGACACTTGGCGCGAGGGGGTCCCTGGGGTTGAGAGAGGCCCTTGGTAACAGGGCCCCCGCCAACCGCCAGCACCCCACTTTCTCTTCCCTCCCTGCAAACCAGGCTTCTTCTCCCACCAGGGCCAAGTTCCCCCCTTCAGAGTTAAGACCGTGGTCTTCAGCATATTCACAATTCTGTGCGTTGATCATCGCTAATTCCAGAACATTTTCATCACCCCGAAGAGAAGCCCATATTCATTCACAGTCACTCCCCACTTCTCCGTGTTATGGGCTGAATTGTGCCCCTGAACCCACATTCTTTTTCTTGTTGTTTTTTTTAAAATATATTTTTATTGATTCCAGAGAGGAAGGAAGAGGGAGAGAGAGATAGAAATATCCATGATGAGAGAGAATCATAGATCGGCTGCCTCCTGCAAGTCCCCCACTGGGGATGGAGCCCACAACCCAAGTATGTGCCCTTGACCGGAGTCGAACCTGGGACCTTTCAGTTCGAAGGCCGACGCTCTCTCCACTGAGCCAAACCGGCTAGGGCTGAACCCACATCCTTATGTTGAAGCCTTAACCCCCCCAGTACATCAGAATGTGACTGATTTGGAAACACCGTCTTTAAAGAGGCAGAGTGAGGCCACTGGAGTGGGCCATCATCTGTGGGGCTAGTGTCCCGAGGAGAGACGAGGACAGTCATGTGAGGGGAAAGGGGAAAGACGGCCGTCTGCACCAAGGGGAGCGGCCTCGGAGTGACGCCACCCCTTCCAGCACCTCCGTCGCTGACTCTGGCCTCCGGACTGAGAAATAAGCTCTTGTTGTCTAAGGCCCCCGTCTGCGGTGCTTTGTTATGGCAGCCTGAGTAGACTAACACACCGCGCGACCACAGTCTGCTGTCCGTGCATTTGTCTGTTCTGGACAGTTCATGTAAACGGGGCCCTGCCGTATGCGGCTTTTTCTGACTGGCTTCTCTCACTTGGCGTAATGTTGTCAAGGTGCATCCATGCTGTCGCATGTATCAGTACTTCATTTCTTTTATGGCTCATTGTATGGATATACTATTTTGTTCATTAGTCAATGGGCATTTGGGTTGTTTCACTTTTTGGTTGCTATGAATCATGATGCTGTAAACATTCATGCATGAGTTTTCACATGGATATTTCCATTTTTCTTGAATATATATATATACACATACCTAGGAGCAGAATTGCTGGGGCATGTGGTAACTCTGTGTTCAACTTTTGAGGAACCACCAACCTGCTTGCCCCAGGGCCTTTGCACATCTTTTTTTTTTGGGGGGGGGGCCTTTGCACCTCTTGATCTCTTTCCTTCTCTCGCCCCTGGCAGCCCAGTTAGGGTGAATCAAGTTATTATCCTCTCAGAGGAACTATATTCCATTCTGATATAAGATTTATCTCTGTAGTTTTATATTCATTAACTAGAGGTCTGGTGCAGGAAATTTGTGCACTGGGGTGGGGGGGTAGGGGGCTTCAGCTCAATCTGTGCTCTTCTCACAGGTTCAGGACCCTTTGCTTCTTACCGCCCGGCTGCTTGCTGCTTCCTACTGCTCAGCTCGTGT